GGATAGCAACCACTCAGCAATTGCAGGAAGTGCATGACACTGTGGAAGGCATTAAAACAAGGGAAGGTGACGTCATTCATGCAGTTCAGAAACAGCTGACTTATCTTAAATCAGTAGATGAAACAGTTTCCCAGAATGCAGTTGGACTAGCAGCAGTGGCCCGCATTCTTAAAAATGTTGTTAGTAACGCTTTGAAAAGTCAGAAAACTTGGAACAATACTACTAGAAATTTGGAAAATTTGATAAGTTACAGAGCAAACATTTCACGCGTTATGCGCGAATTGGACTTCATGGTTGTACAATTGCAACAATCCGTGATGCGCTTACAGGAAGGGTTAGAAACTAGCGCTACGGGAAGGTTATCTTCAGTTTTAATTCCCCCACATAACTTATCAATGATTTTGCAGCAAGTAATTTTGAAGTTACCACAGGATGTTTCATTGATTGCTGGATTCACTATTGACAATATGTATATTTACTATGAAGTTGCAAAAGTGCAGGCTTATGCCACGACGACCGCCATTCGACTCGTAGTGCGAATTCCCTTACGAGGTGCAGATCGAGTCATGACCCTTTTTAGGAGTGTACCCCTACCAGCTTATTCCGAGGTATTACAGAGACATGTTCAGATAGAACCAGAAACATTGTACCTGGCAGTGACCGAGAATGGGCAATACTACTCACTTTTAACGACGGCAGACTTACAGCGATGCAAACTTGGCATATTTGCCATTTGTGAAGCCACCTTTCCATTCATACATAAGACTCGAGCATCTTGCTCTTCAGCTTTGTATTTCGGTCAGGCAGAATTCGCCCATGACCTTTGTCGAAAGCATATTCTTAATGAAAACTTTAATCCTGTATGGCTTCAAGCTAAGGGGCCTCACCCCTTTTGGATATATAGTCTGCCCTCGCCAACAGTTGTGACAAAGAAATGTAAAGTAAATGGAACTACTCAGAGTTCTAATTTGGAACTGTCCCATACTGGCACGTTAACGGAAGATACACACTGTCAATTTTACTCGGAAGCTTTTGTTTTGTTACCGGTATCGGATGGATACACCAACGTGACGATCACCGGAAGCCAGATATTCCTACCCCACCTGCCCGAGCTGATATCGCCCAGGGAGCGCGACCAGCTGATGCACGATGAGGCACAAACACATCGAGCCTTGGCGGCATTGGAAACCATCGCCAGGCGGAGCTCACCTAACCAGCAGCAGTCATACGTGGAACTACGAGAACTATTGGCAACCATGGCCAGTAATACAACGACTACCAGTCAAACCACCTGGGTATATGTACTAGTAACCATCAGCGTTATACTATCCCTTATTATCCTCACCTCCAGACTTTGGCAACGACCACTCAACACGCTGACCCAAAAGGTTATCCCACGCCGACCTGAGCCAAAATCCAACGACAGAGAAATGAAACCTATGTCCACACCCACCACAACAGCCATTGACCCAGAACCCAACGATTGTCCATGCTGTACGGAAGATAGCAGCGAGCTCATGGGAGTGACAACGTCACATCCTGCTACTCCACTACAGATGGAAGTGGAGACTGCAAGCAAACCGGCACCCACGGTCCAGCCAAGGACAGGGGAGCGTGTACATTTCGCTCAACCCGGCAAGTTCCAGCTCCGGAAATGATGGAGAGAGCGCTCATCGCCGGAAGCAACAGCGATAAGCTACCAGCAGAACAAAGTGTGCCAACAATAATGCAACCAAGTGTACAGTTACGTTCATGAATTTTAAAGCATAATTACAATGAACACACCAACAGTGTGAAGGACCACAAACCATGTAAAGTTAACACATGTGTAACACAGTTGATGAGAGTTAACAAGGAGAAAAGAAAGACAATGTGAGAGAGACACATAAGTGCTACAAAATGTATTATTTTGTTCATAAGATGTTTTTCATTTCAGGGGTACCCACTGAGCATTTCTATAATCATACACTGTAATAATGTAATTACTGTATCATGTATTCTTAATTTGAGGTATGTTCATTTGACAATAACTGTATGCAGTAGGAATAAGAGAGAGACAAATGTATATACATCTAGGACTAGGATAACCCTAAGGTGGAAGCCCAACTTTGGTGAAGTTATGACTTCCATTTGAGGAGAGGGCAATGTTGTGCCACGGCACTAGATGCCAGATATATTTTGTATTATCATTAATTTTAGTTCATTTGTAATAGAAAGGGAAAGAACAGTCACAGGATGATGAACCGGAAGTTGAATGAGATCAGACTCACGAGTGTGCGGTATCCGGTAGTCAGCCATTTTATGATGCATCGGTTAGAGAATTACGCACGTACACCAGTGACCATATATGGACAAGTGTTGAAACGGCAAGAGACGAACGCCAATGGGAAAAGACTATTCTAGGGCGTTTCCACGCGTGGGTAGTACTCGAGCGTCGCACAGAGACTTATAAAAGCCCCAGACGCGAGTGCAGAAGGGGACTGTCTAAAGGCTAAGCTAGGGAAGGCTTGGGCGTAGTTGTTGCTACCGAACTCTGTGACAGTGCCGACCATGAAGGGACCAGCCATCGCAGCCACTCTGTGTCTTCTATATTGTTCATGTGAGTACTTGCCTCTTGTCGGAACACGCCAGTGAGAAACTAGACAATCAGAACTGTAAACTGAAGGACAGAATGAGTAGGACTCCCTACAGGAGGAGGAGATAGGCCAAAGAATGAATATCATGTACTGTAAGTTGTAGTTAGATTTATTTCCATGTATTAATTGGCTTTAGCCAGAGAAAGAGAGTGAAGTAATATATCCTCAATGTAAATTTGTATATGTGTGTTTCATTTACCCGGCACCTCCCAAGCCCAGTAAGAGCAATCCACGGGCCCATAGGGGTCGGCGCTACCCCAACCCCTTGCGGCACAACAATAGCGCCGCATTCACAATGATGCGTTTCGAAAATTTATTGTTACTCCGTAGCTATTGAAAATCGACCACAAGTTTATAAGGAAATTTTGCAGGAATATGTACCATAAGCGGTGGTAAAACTTCGTGAATCACTCTGCATATATATAAACACACACACACATACAGAATGTCCCAGGAGGAATGTGCCAGACTTCGGAAGGGTGTTCCTTATGTTAAAGTATGCCGATATAACCCAAAACACCTATGTCTAAAGTTGAAAGGTTACGGAGATAATGGCCAGAGAAATGTGAAACTTTGACAGGTATTACACACTTGTTGATTACCAAATACGTATTAAAACTGGCAGGAATATGTGGTTTCTGTAATGTTAACAATGTAAGTAACATCAAACTAGTTTGTGAGTGACATGAAGCCATTAAATTGAACAACAAATAAACTCGCACGCCATGTCATAGTTGTCGTTAAGGTTCCAAGCACTATACATGACACATGAATGGCAAGCACTGTCGTAACATAACTGGCTGCGCATTCCGGTATGCGACTGTATGCGGCTAGAATGGGCCGTCATTACCACACTCGAGGACAGACATTGATAACGCTTGTCAGCTGACAGGTACAGTGCGTGGACCCGCCAGAAGACCACACTTTTCTCTGGCCATTATCTCCGTAACCGTTCAACTCTGGACATAGGTGCTTTGGGTTATATCAGCATACTTTAACATAAGAAACACCCTCCCAAAGTCTGGCAGAGTCCTCCTAGGACACTCTGTATATATCGTAACGTGTTTTGGAACTGAAGACGCCGTTCGGATTGTTAATTTGTTTATTTAACAACCTAAAAATCGTAACTACAGATAATTATAACACAGTTGCGGGTTTACCCAATTTACAAACCCTACACAATAACTGTTCACTCTATCTTCAATAGTCTTCACTTATTCCCAGTGCAACACGGGAGCTATACCAGGGTCACTGTATTACACACTCCCAATACCCCCTCTCAGTATCTCCTCTAATCACACGTTTCGGTCTTCTTCACGTTCATGATTTACTAGCTACAACTGAACTCGGTGACTGCTTCAATTCAACTGGCTCCTTATCAAATCAAAGTCACATTGCGACTGACGGTCAGTCAGTCTGTCTGTCTTGGTGTCGAACCCCGACTCAGGCTCATGACCAGACTTTTTTTCTTCTTTATATGAAAGTTACTGTCCTGTTCATTTGGGGCGCCTTCTCTGTCGAGAGGTCGGATCTGTCATTTGTCAGTCATAGTCTGTGTTAGTAAGTCCATTGTCAATATTTACATATATTTACAAATTTAATCTTAATTCCTATTTCTATATACAATATACACTAGGCCTCTGTCAGGTAGTGCAGTTATCTTATAAACCCTCAGCCAGACAAAGGAAGACGCGCCTCGCTTCCGTGTTGCGTAATCGCCGTGTATACAGGCGTTGCTGGGCAACGCTGCCGAGATTTGTTTATTGGTCCGTAGCAACCTGCGTGCTTCGGCTCGGCTCGGCTCACTTCGGCTCTACTCGGCACGGCATAGAGAAACACCGCTTTCCTTACTGTTGCGTAACTTGGCAACCGACCGTTTATCAAGGGTCTGTCTTCGTGGTAACTCCTTCCACCTCCCGTTGCCCAGCAACGGTTAGATAATTCACAATATATATACACACAAAAGTATGGCCACGGGTCCCAGCGGGGCCCGATGCCAGGAATGAGCGTGCCGACTGATTGTCGGCAGCAAGCTTCTGCTCTGCTCTGACACACACACACACACACACACACAAATATACATATATATGGTGGGCACACGTAAGGGCGGGTACTCACTATAAGGCTGCAACGTGCAACGCAACGGTTGCTGCAACCGCATTTTTCTAATGAGTACGTCTTGAGCTTCGTTGCTGCAACAGTTCGCAGTGAAGAAGACAGGTTTGAAGACAGGTGGCGTTGCTGAGGGAAGTTGGCATTACCGTCGTGTACTGCCATCTGTCAAACGACCCCATACTAAATTTTAGACTGATTCGTAGGTTAGTTTTTATTTGGCAGCCAATTGCATCAGACGTGTTTCGTCTTTCTCGATACAATGGAAAAAGTGCAATATCTATCCGTAATTCGCTTTTTATTTTTGGATGGAAAAACATGCGAAGAAATAAAAGCGAAATTGGATGCCATCTATGGGGACCCTTCACCATCTATGACAACCATGAGATATTGGTTCAACGAATTTAAACGTGGTCGTACATCTGTTTTTGACGAGGAGCGGCCAGGCCGCCCGGCAGACGTCGTTACCGAGGAAATCGTTGAAAAGGTCCATGACATGATTCTCGCTGATCGCCGAACTAAAGTGCGCGAAGTAGCAGAGGCCATAGGTGTGTCGTACGGAACGGCACTCAATATTTTACATGATAACTTAAGTATGAGAAAGGTGTCAGCCCGATGGGTGCCGCGGTTGCTCACGGTGGACAACAAGCGGATACGGCTGTCAATGTCGAAGCAGTGTTTGGACCTCTTTAAGCGAAATTCGCAGGAGTTTTTGCGTCGAGTCGTCACCACTGATGAAACCGGGATACATCATTATACGCCAGAGACCAAGCGACAGTCAAAACAGTTGATTTTTCTGGGTGAATCTGCTCCGAAGAAGGCAAAGACGGTCCCATCGGCCGGAAAGGTCATGGCCACGATTTTTTGGGATTCGAAGGGATTAATCCTCATGGACTTTTTGCAGAAAGGAAGAACGATCACGGGGCAGTACTACAGTGAATTATTGGACCGATTCGACAAGAATGTGAAGGAGACACGGCCCCATTTTGCTAAGGAAAAGTGCTGATTCACCACGATAACGCACCAGCACATTCATCCGGAATTGTCGTAGCCAAATTGCATGAACTGCACTACAAATTGCTGAAGCACCCACCGTACTTGCCTGACCTGGCTCCCTGTGACTTTTTTCTGTTCCCCAACATGAAAGCATGGCTCGGGGGGAAAAAATTCAGCTCAAACGAGGAGGTTATCGCCGAGACAGAAGCGTATTTTGAAGAGTTTGACAAATCTTATTTTTTGGATGGGTTAAATAAATGGCAGAAACGTTGGGAAAAGTGTATCGACCTCAAAGGAGATTACGTTGAAAAATAAAAAAAAATGTGAAAAACTTGTGTCTTTATTCCTAACACAGGTACTTATTGATAGACCCTCGTAGGTGTCGGGAACGTCTATACAATATAAGCAGCCAGTGATAAAAACTATCGCGAAAATACTTATAGGAAATGACCGACTAAATGCTTCAAAGCGGAGCTAACTCGATAACAGTATGTATTACTAACACGCCAATATACAAGGACAAAAAAATACACCCATAAACATGCAATATTTACCAAACAGTCAGTCTCCTCCCAACGTACAGGGTCAACCAAACATCCACTACTTCCCAATTATACTTGGCCAACCAAATATGCAGTATTCTTCCATCAGGCAAGTCCAACCAAACATGACAATGAATAACCCTATACCGAGCTATGCTAATATGTACCCAAGTATTGACCTTCAGGATCAGCAATTGTCATCATATCAGATAGCCCCAGCAGAGCAGCCTCCGATACCACCATTACAAGCGGATAAAAATAACCACGACTTGTCCGATTATTAAATGACCAGTGGGGAAGAAGAGATGTTGGATAATGACGAGACAACAGGTAAACATCCCTGGCAAAAAGTCGAAAATAAAATAAAAAAACGCAAGGGATACAATCCAAATTATGTTAATATTGAAGAACCTAGTACATTCAATGGATACCAACTGCTTCAAAAACTCAAAGATAAAAACGAAGAAAAAGTATGAAGTAAATACAGGAAGTAAACAACAAATAAAAGAAAAAGGTCTCCCTCCAACATACATATATGGAGTTACGGACTTCAAAGGCATGATTGAAACTATCTCACAAATCATAGCAGATGAACAGTATCATACCAGAACAACAACCGAAAAACTGTCAAAGAAACCATAAAAACAGTCAAATTCTGAAGAAAATTAATCCACAACCAGAAGGAATGCAAAGTCAAATCATAGTCAAAGTCATGTTAAAACTGACGGAAGGACACTCTGTCTGTCTTGGTGTCGAGCCCCAGATGAAAGTTACTGTCTTGTCGGTGTGGGGAGCTCTCTCTGACGAGAGGTCGGGTCTGTCATTTGTCAGTCAGTCT